AAAGTCATAATATCCCATTAAATTATGGTAAAACAAATAAATTATATTTATATCTTTAATAAGTAATATAACAAATAATTTTATAATTTTTTTAATTAATAAAAACACTCACAATTATCAAAATCTTTTTAATTAATTAAAATATATTTTTAATATTTTTAAAAAAATCTAGGATTTTAAATGTTATAACTAAGTGTGAATTAAACACAATTTTTAACTTTTTTATATAACCATACTAAAACATTGTGTAGTTTAATTACAATAAAAATGTATTACATAATTATTTTAGGTTAAATAATATATAATTTCAAGTTCTTGTATAACGTCTAATTATAATAATTTATCATAACGACTAATTAAAAATAGTTTTTTTAATAATGATAATATTTATAAAACTTTTTAATTTATTAAACTATTTAAAAATTTAAAATTAAAATTTTTAAATATATGTCAATGTGAATAACCAATTTTATCCGGACCCAAAAAAGCAATGAAATGGACATCTACTATAAAGAGGAGGAGCTCCCAAAGTATGGAGGTAACACCATATGACAACAAGGAAGCTTGAAGCCCAAAAAAGTTGGTTTTAGGAACCTAGAACGGGCTGTTCCAAAACTGAAACGGGTCGTTCTCATATCAGAACGGGTCGTTCCTAAACTGGAACGGGTCATTCCAAGTTACTAAAAAGACCTAAAATCCTAATTGAGAACGGGTCGTTCCACCTTTAGAATGGGTCGTTCTTGGTTACTAAAAAGACCTAAAACCCTAATTAAGAACAGGTCATTCTGCCTTTAGAATGGGCCATTCCAGGTTCAAATTTAGCTCACAACTGAAAGATCCAAAACGGGTCGTTTCGAATCCGGAATGGTCGTTCTGGTCAGGTCTGACATCTATAAATAACATACTCGGGCACTGTTCACGGGACGGAAAAAAAAAAAGCACGGAAAAAAAAAGCGCAAAAAAAATAGCGAGAAAAAAATTGGTCTAAGCTTCCTTACAGCTTGAAAATCCTCTCTCTTTCTCTCTCTTTATAATTCTTGAGTTCTGTGAGGCATCTGTATAGTGTGAAAGGTAGTCAAAAAGCACCTAATAGATCATCATATTTGAAAATTCAACACGATAACAAGTTCAACAATTCATTCGCCTCACCTTTGGTATCATATTCTTTTCTTAACCTTTTTTTATTTGTTGAAAATAATTGTATGTACAGAGTGAATATGATTTGTTGTCTTCAACATCATTATTTAGAAAATATTTAATATACAATAAATAACGACATCAATTGAATAACATTTTTATCTTTGATGTTATTTGATTTTGAGGGTTTAATGATTAGTCATTTGCTAACTTAAATTCTTATACAAGTTCCCTTTTTAAAAAAAATAATAAAAAAAGTTTATTTCACATATAAATTACCTTCTCGTATGCAACGAGCAAAATAAGCATTTCTCACATTTAAAAAAATATATGTATATACATTTCTGAGGAGTAAATTAAATATTTATAAATTTATATAATTTTGCGCAATTAATTAAAGGTACTGTGTTTTTACAGGCGTCGTAGGATGCTAATATCTTTCCTACACGTAATTGACTTCCGAACCCAATTTTGATTTTAAAAAATAATTTTAAAGGGTTTTCCAATGTTTTTTCCTTAAAATAAAATATTGGTGGCAGCTCCATTGAAAAACAATGTCTGCTTCATCTCGTCGTGATTTCGGTTACGCGAGTCAAATATATAAAAAAAAATAAAAAACTGTAATAATTACAAAATTTATATATCTTTTTTAACTGAAGATAGTTCTAATATAAAAAAAATTGTTAAACCTTAAAACTCAAAATCATAAATTTAAAACCTTTTATAATTTATCAAATTATCTAAAAAAATTTAAATTTTAAATAGTTCAGTAAAAAAAATCATTATAATAATTATCCTATTTGTAAAAACTTTTTTTTTTACAATTTGTCAAATTATTTAAAAAATTAATATTAATTTTTTTTACATACGCTAGTTACAATAAAATTACTAGAATAATTATAATATTTATAAATCCTTTTTACCATCACATAACTCAAATATATATATAAAAAAAATCAATAAACTCTAAACCTTAAAATCCTAAATTTAGTTCATAGATATATCAGATAATCAACTTGAATTATATAAGAAATTAAAAATAAAAAAAAAAACGTTCTTATCAAATTTATTTTAAATATATTAAAATTTGATTCATAGATACACGTGATAAATAAAATTTAAATTAAATAAGAAATTAAAATAATTTACAATTATGAAAAATTAATTTGTAAATAACTATGAAAAATAGATAAATTGAATTAAATAGGAAGTTAAAAAACACTAACAATATTATTGTTGAATTTCATACTTGATTTATATGGTTACTCTTAGCTATAAATGGAATATGAAAAACAAAAGAATCAAATCCTAAATATAAAACACGAATAATTATTTTGCTTAGAGTAGAGACATTTTTTACAATATAATTTTGAAATATTTTTTTTATTTTATATTTAATTCAGTTTTTTATTTATCAAAATTATTTATAGATTAAATTTCAATATTTTTTAGATAAATTGTCAATAAATATTATTATCATGGTTATTTATAAATTAAATTTTTAATTTTTAAAGATAAATTATCAATAAATAAAAAAATATTGTACTACAATATAAATTATTTATCAAAAATCTAAAATATATATTTATCCAAACTTTTAAATTTTAAATATAATTTATATATTAAAATATAATATTTAATCTATAATCTGTAATATGTAACAATAACAATAGATAAAAAATACATAAATTTCGTTTTCACAATTTTTAAGACAATTATACTCATTTTCTAATTGCTTACTACTATCTCCTGGACATAAATGGACAATAAAACTTCAAAACTCACTTCTCTCTCACTCAAACCACCCTTACTTTAAATCATTTAATTTCTCCCATGATCATAACAACGTAACCAAGTCATCAACAACAATAACAACAACCAAGTCTTATTCTAGTAGGTGTTGGAACATGGAACACGCAAGAGTAAATGAAAAATCAGACCCCGCCAAAACAGTCCAGAAAAGTGGAAACACATGCAAATTGTTCAATAGACAATAAGGTAAAAGAACAAACCATTAATCATTAAAAGCATCAAATCATGGATTGAGAAGCATGAAGCCTTGGATCACAACGAGTGTGATAACGAGAGCTCAAGTCATTATGGGTAATAATCCATGAGCCAACAACACATTCTGTCATCTCTAAATGAACCCCTCCTCGGTAGCTTCCTTCTTTGTCATGTACATCAAAGAATGCCCTAAACTCAGACAATTATACAACAAAAACCAACCATAGAAACTTCAAGAGAGCCAGATCTTGAATATGGCATCAAAATTAATAAACAGCCAAAGTAATTCCCTCTACTAAACTTACTAGTCTCTTAGATGCACTTAAGTAAATGACTTGCCAAATAATTATCTAAAAAATAGGAAGAAAATTCAAAATAATGTTCTTCATAAACTAAATTTAGCTTATGCATAAATTAAAAATAAGATTTTAAAAAAAATTAAAAGGAGATTGCTTTTACAAATTAAATTATTTATACGTAAACAAATTTTAACTTATAAATAAACTTATTTTTTCCCTTTTTTTTTCTTTTCTAAAAGTACTTATGGGTAGTTTACCCACACATACCATATATCACACAGGAAAACATTATAAACTATCTCAATTAAAAACTTAAGAAACCCAGAGATTCAGAGATTTGATATCCATGCAAATAGAAATCTGACAAGATAGCTTGCGGCCCCTAATCACTTTACAAAATAAAGTATACCTCGCTACAAATGATTCTCCAAAGCTACTTCATATTAATCAATCACCACAAATTCATGTATTCACACTATAAAAACCTTCAAAATCTAAACTATTTGAATTTGGGCTGATTACTAAATTTACATAACTGATCATTTGCCTGAAACAGGAACAGGTAAACATATAAATAAATGCACACCTCAGCCGGTGCTGGGACGATAGTGCAATTGCAAGTCCCCACAATGGAAACCTACAACATTTTCAAAAACAACACCACTCACAAACACAGGCACACGAAGACGCAAAAACTATTCTATTATTGTAAAGAATATTTGATCAAATATATAATAAAAATGATCACAAAAAACTTCAACTATATACAAAAGGAACATGAATAATTAATTCAATAGTAAATTACTATTTTTTTTATATAAAAGTTTCAAGTTATACAATTTATTTTTATTTATTTTTCTTTTTTAATAAGTAATTAAAAGAACAAACATCGAACCCATACCTTAGTTTTAGGCTTGTACTACATAACCAAGATTTAAGACCCATTTGCCACCATAGACATAGATTTACGATTGAAAATATCATTTTAGTCGTATAAAGGCCAACCCTATAAGTTATACCCCCTTATAAAAAAAAAATAATAACATCCAAAATGTGATTAACATTTACGAAAGTCATTCCTTTGGGACATGGACTATAAGCTTAAGCATAAATTTCCACCTGTAGTAGGAACGAAATATAAACGTAAAATTCCTGAATCCTAATATTGGTTACCCACCAATCCACCGTGATACGGAACTTGGCTTGCAGACTAAAACAAACTATTAGGATTGGTGGGTAACCAATGTCACAAAAGAGTGGGAGACATCATATGTCAGAGAGAAAAAGAAAAGAAATGAATAACATTAGATTCACAAAAAATAAATTTAAGAACTTCCGTTCATTTTTAACATTAGAGTAAAATACAAGGAGGGTTCCTAAATCTGACATGGAAATAATGGGCCCACAAAAAGTAAAATAAGAACCCAAATTGCGTTATAGAGCCGGAGATACTCTAAGAAAAAATTGCCACCGCAAATTAAAAGAAAAACCATAATTATCGAATCGAGCTGCAAGCATTTCTAGAAAAGCTAATCTCAGTCTCACCCGTATTTGAAATATTTGAAAACCATAATGCATTAAGAGATATAAGGAGAAGCACATGAAAGAATGTGAACTATAACATAGGCACCCTATTCACACGCGAGTGCATCATTGATTCAAATCTCTACACATAACTACAATCTAAACTAAAATACAAAGACTGAAAAAATAAATTGAGTTCAGTTTATGTCATAACAGTTAGCAGCATTTATCACTCTCTAGTCTTCTGCAGCATCTTCGATTTCTTCATCCTCTGGTACTCCTCGTAGATACAGAACATTGTTACATCTAGAAATACAAACAATTCAATAAGACTTGACTATCGTATTTAAAAGATGACACTCAACGGAGGTCGGAGTGACCAAATGAAATAATCTTATAAAGAAGAAAAATTATACAAAAAGAAGGCTAAAAGGAGGAAATGCATATGTTTTCTTGTGAAACTGTTGGATATTTTGATCATGTTCAGAATCAGAAGTATAAAAACACCAGAATACATAACACGGATACGCGGATGAGACAGGACTTGAATCTGCATAGTCAATAATAGGTTAAATGTATAATTTTAGTCCCTATATGTGCCATGAATTCTCAATTTGATTTTTTTACGTAAAAATCTATTACATTAGTCCCTATACATGTAAATATTACCAATTTGATCCATGTTATTATATGTTGACCTTTAGCTCCCTTGAGCAATTTTAATTTGGTCCTTATGAATATAACTCATTCTTAATTCAGTCCATACAAGTGTAGGACACTCTTAATTTCAGTCTTTGTAAGTAGACAATAAATTAAGAAAGTTACATGTTTGGGGACCAAATTAAAAATGCATAAAGGGACTAACAATGATATGGACTAAACCGATAATGTTGACACATGTATAGGGACTGATCTAATGAGATTTTATGCATAGGAACCAAATCGAAAATTTGAGACACATAAGAGCACTAAATTATATAACACCAAAAAATATTTAGGTGGTGTAACTTGCAAGTAAAAAGTAGTTTTGACATTAGAGCAATATAAACCGTCTTTAAATTACTTTTTTCAATTTAACCAACACGATTCAGACACCATATATATCATGCTATCTTCTACCTCCAAAATATATTACAAAAAAAATTAAAAACTAGATTCCAGTTTCAATAACAATGTCAAACATAGTGAAAACTATATTGATAATTTAAATGTATCACAGCAAGAGGTGTTTGCAATTCATGAATTCAATTAGAATTGATTTTAAATATAAAAAACATCTGAGCCAAACATAAAAATAAAATGCAACTTGGTTTAAATAAGATTGAATATATTTTCTTATTGGATTATATGAGTCAGTTTCTTTTTTTTATTTTGCTAATCCTAATAAAAATAGGACATTAACATGTTGACACTTTTCAAATAGCACGATTCCACTTGTATATTTTCTCCCTTTAATCTAATTGTTTTGCTTATTTTCTTTAAGAATTAGTTACTTACGTAACCAGTCTGTTTTTTAATCCACTTAAATATATGAAAAGTGAAGTGCTAGTAACATTCTTTAACACACTCTTT